CTTGTCATATAAATCTTGAGCAGTGAATTTAGTATTATATTCATCCTTCATGACATAAACATCTTTACATCTAATGTTTCTCATCGTCGTTATGTCGTCATCCGATGTTAAACCTTGTGGAAAGTTAGGAGGTTTACAATATAATGCATCCCCACCAGTTTCTTCAACCGTTCCTTCAATACTTTCTATAGCAACAGTTGTAAAACTTGTATGTGTATGAGTCTTATTTGCTTTCTTCTCTAACTCATCGTTAACATAAGTTTTATCTGCTTTAAGGTCTAAACATCCTGAAACCCATCCTGTATCGGCTTTAGTTTTTAAAATCTTCGATGTCCGTTCATGGTACCAGTCAACCCTTTCTATAATTTCTTTATCTTTTTCATCCACATATTCCTTATCCGCCTTCTTCACTAACACACTAGCCATAAGTCCCTTATCTACCTTATTTTCAAGGCTAACGTTTAAGTCTGTTATTTCAGATATAGAATGTGTATGAGTCTTTTTAGAATATTCGTTTTCAGCTCTCGTCACTTCACTTGGCATTTTATTGTCAACATATGTTTTGTCTGCTAGTTCAGGATGAGTATGTTCTTTTGTTGCATAAGCATTGTTAGCTCTTTCTTCTTCTTTTGCTATTGCATCGTCTACATATTCTTTGTCAGCTTTGTTGTCAACATCTGCTTTCAAAAGAAGTTCATTTATAGGTTTCTCGTTTAAAGTTCCTTTTGTTGGATTTATACAGACAGTATTGTTCTTCTTGTCTTGAAATAGAAACTCATCTGTTAAAGGGTTTAATGTCAGTTTTAAGTTTCCTTCTTTCAATGACTCAGATATCTTAGAATAGTTTGAAAAGTTTGTTGTGTTCTTATTTAGAGCTTGCATAATGAGTTGTCGGTTGTGTTGTATTTCTCTCATGGAAGCAATATCTTTCGACATTTTTATTCTAGATAAAATATGCTTCCAATAGAAAAAGAAAATTCAAGAGTTGCTACAACTAAACCATTAGATGAACTTTTTACTAATGTCGGTCAAAAGTTTGAGACAGAGACCGTAAAGCATGAAGGCTATCGTTTTGACTACCCATTAAGATGGCTAAGAGACCCATCTGTCACAAAAGCTATTGGCTTTCGTAGAATGAAGTTCATTTCAGAAGCCATACATGGTTTCCCATTTACGGTCGGTTTTGAAGTTCGATACTATAACAAAGAAAACGTATGTATGAGAAATTTGAACAGGGAAAACTTTTACAAGTTAGTTTGCTTGTAAACTTAGAAACAACTCTTCAAGCTTTTCAAGAAAAAATAAACGATATCTATATCGAATATGCAAAACAGTATAACATTGACGAAGGAGAATACCATCTCGATATTATTTATGACAGGAAAAATGCAACTGTTAAAATCAATAGAATAGAAGACCTTGGAGAAAACGTTTATATTTCTACAAAATATAACAACTTGGCATGGTATAGATTTATGAGGATGTTAAATCAGCCTGCAGCATATCCAGTACACCCAGACTTTTATGAAGTCGAAAACCCTAATGGAACATATGAAAATATTTTCGACCCAGATGCTATTATTGTTCATGCTTCATTTTCTGGTGCGCAAAACTCTTTCTTATGTCTGATGAATGATTTTTACGAAAAACCTACAAAGTTATACGAACCACCAAGTGGAAGTATTTCAGACTTTCAAGTATGGTTTACTACAGATGGAAGAAAAAGAATAATTCCATTATACCATGCGTTTTACTTAGAACTTAGTTTCATATACAACTACTATCGAACGGTAAAAATATAATTTTTTAATACGGTTGAGGTGTTGGATTTGGTTGCCAACTAGACTGTGGTGCAGGTTCAGGCTGTTGTATAACAGGAGCTTGCTCTTCTGGTTCAGGGTCTTTAGGTATAATACCAACAAACTGACCTACCCTTTTACCAATATTTTTGACACCGTTCCAAATTCCTCTTCCTACGGTTTTTATTCCATTCCATATACCTCTTCCAACATTTCGAAAGAAGTTTCCTATCTTACTGAAGAAACCCATTTTACTATATGTAAAAATCTAATGTCCGCCTAGTCTCTTACGTTTCCTGTTGAGTTCCATAGCATTCTTTAACTGGAGCTCATACATTCTGTTTCTCCTCTGGTAGAAAAACATATTCTGGGTCAACTCCTGTGTTCGCGTCATCTGCATAAAGTTGTTTATATCCCACTTCAGGGTTTGTATAAAACTCTTTCCATCTCATATTTGCATACCATGGTGGCAAACCTAACGCAGCGTCATTTGACATGGCAGTTTGCATTTGTACATCTGTTGGCACTTGACCATAGTTTGCCATTGCAGTTTGTATTCTAACTTCATTTGGAATATTCTCTGGGTTTGGTTGTCCAGGTTGCTGTGCATTCGCTAAGTTCTGTGCGTCCATTTAATATTAGATAAAAATATCTCTTACGAGTACATATACTGAACATTTGCAGGCATTGGTTCATCTTCATATTCTCTATATCTTTCTGCCACGTCAAATAAATAAATGACACAATGGAAAAAACCTAAAACAAGTAGTCCTATTTCAAACCACATTTACTTACTAATAAAATTTCTTTGTTATGACACTTTCTCCGGTTTATAGGACCTCTCTCATATTCTATCTTGTCATATCTAAACTCATAGTCATGTATGTCCTCTAACCATCTCATAACGGTTTCCAAACCACTTTTATCGGATGTAAAGTAAAAGCATGGATGGTTATGTATAACGTCTAAAGTTTCTAAAGAGTCTCTCAAAGTCCAGTCTACTTGGTATTGAAAATCCCATGTGTTATAGAACGGCGGGTCCACTATAAAGAAAACATTTTCCTTGTCTTTATATTTTTCATACAACTCTGTCCAATGACATCTCACAAACTCTATACCCTCAATATATTTTTCTATGTCCTCTTTGAAAACATTTGTATAGTTAAGATATAAAACTTTTGACATAAGTGTTTCAATGTCATGAACTCTTATAGAACCACTATATAATAGTCTAGCAGATATACTATCCCAGTCTATATATTCTGCTTTTTTCAAAACCTCTCTCACAATATTTTTGTTATCTAATGGTATACGTTCCATCTTACCTATAGGTATCTTTTCTTTTAACTCACTCAATATTTTGTTTGTGTCTGGAATATGTTTGAGACGGTCCATATAGTTGTCGAAGTCATTGCATATAATCTTTGAGTCTGGGAATATTGTATGGCACAAATGGGATATATAGAAACTTCCACCGAACAAATCTACAAATGTTAGACCATTCGGTAGTTTCTTAAGTTCTCTCAATATAATATCTTTACATTTACTCTTATTTCCAAAGAACGGTAACGGAGGTTTTGTAAAATTCATTTATATATAATAATAAAAATGTTTTTACCCGAAAAGTGACAGAAAAGTGACAAAACATGAAAACATATATAATTTGTGAAAAGCGACACATTATATAATGTTTTCGACCCAGAAGAAGGCTTCTTCCCAGAAGCAATGGAGGAAGAAGAAGAGTCCTCCGAATTCACACCAGAAGACTAACAATTTTCCGAATAAAAACTTCATTTATACTAAACATCTTCGGGGCTAGAGGGCACGAAGTGCCTGGAAGCCCCACTTCCTTTTTTTTTTTTTTAATTTACAGTACAAGTTTATTGATTAATAGCAATAACGAATTAATTTGGAAATCAAACCTCATCTCAAGCAGTTGATAATCATAGATTAAGTTTTTATATACTTGTAATGCATTTTATCATCTTCCAATTTGCGATTGACTGAATCCTTAGGAGTCAATTTCAGATGAATGTTCCTTTTGGATTGGAATATTATGAAACTATGCATGCATAACTGTGTTGTAATGATTTTGATGTTAATTTTTCGATAAAAATAGAAGATTGTATTGGGAAATTTTGAGTTTAGTAGAGAATGGATGTTTGTTCAATGTTTGATGGTTATCTTTAAATGGAGAAAGATTCTATGATCTCAAAATGTGTCTCTGATTGATTTAAATTATTATAAGATTAAAAACACTGATCGAATCTTCTTTGACGAATAAGATGGATATTATGAAACACAGTAATGAATTTCTTACAACTGTTTGCGCTGAATTTCGATGAAAATCTTGACGATATTATCGAAGATCTGAAAAAAACATTAAAATGAGGCATCGAATTGAAATATTAGATGATTTAAATGAGATTGTGATGATTTTATATATGAAATATATAATTGGTCATTTCTTTTGAAACAATAACAAAATGTAAAATTCAATGTGTTATAAATTTAGCGTTAGATAGGAATATCTGATGTAACTACACACAGGCTCCATAATTCATAAATCTAATAGAGAATGTTACGTTATGGGGCATTTATCCAAAAAAAAAATTCAAAATGTTTAAATTTTTAAACAGCATAACAAACTATGCAGAAGTGAATTAAAGATATCGGTGTTGTAAAATTAAATTGAATTGAGAACCTCTCAAAATCTGGGAATATTTTACAAATATATGCAAATTATATTAACAAATAATATTTTAAATTTTTGTTTTTTAATTCACTTCATGTGAGGAGAAAACCGATGAATGACTGTTATATTCAATGAGAATGTATGCATTTAAAGAACTTTTGGATGATTTTAGTTGGAAAACTTTCATCGAATTCAATCTGAAGTATTCAATTTTTTCATATTCTGAAAATGAATGAAACAGTAGTCAATATTGAATATAAATTAAATAGATTCGCAAATACAAGTTATCCAGCTTTTGAGAAAATATTTTTTCGACCAAACATGGAAACCTCTCAAAAAATAATGAAACTTCATGTCACAATTTGTTTATTCCTTATGTTCATTTAAATTTTATAGAAAAAAGCTAATTATAAAAACGATGAGGAACGCTTATATTTAAAATTAAGCCATCTCTCAAATTGATTTAATTGAAATTGTAAGGACCGCCAGTCAGTTCATTTTAACAAATGGGCCGTTTCACACTCCCACGCGATCTCTATCATGGCAAGGGCGCTCTCGAGAATCTCAAGACACTCAAGGGCAAGAGAGCCTTCGTCGTCACAGGTTCCCACGCTATGCGCAAATTCGGATTCCTTGACAAGGTTGTTAACTACCTCAAGGAAGCCAAGTTCGAGGTTCATGTCTTCGATGGTGTCGAGCAAGACCCATCTGTCGAAACAGTCTTCAAGGGCGCTAAGGCCATGGAAGAATTCAAGCCAGACTGGATTGTTGCTCTCGGTGGTGGCTCTCCAATCGATGCTGCCAAGGCCATGTGGGCTGTTTACGAATACCCAGAGATGACCTTCGAAAAGCTCATCGTCCCATTCTCATTCCCAGAACTCCGCCAAAAGGCCCACTTCTGCGCCATCACATCAACATCTGGCACAGCTACAGAAGTCACAGCCTTCTCTGTCATCACAGACTACCAGAAGGGCATCAAGTACCCACTTGCTGATTTCAACATCACACCAGATGTTGCCATTGTCGATCCAGATCTTGCTGAGACAATGCCAAAGAAGCTCGTCGCTTTCACAGGCATGGATGCCCTCACACACGCTTTCGAAGCCTACGTTTCTACACTTCACTGCGATTACACTGATGGCTTGGCCCTCCACTCCATCAAGCTCATCTTCGAAACACTCGAAGCTTCCTTCAACGGCTGCATGAAGGCCCGCGCTACAATGCACAACGCTCAGTGCCTTGCTGGTATGGCCTTCTCCAACGCCCTCCTCGGCATTGTCCACTCAATGGCCCACAAGACAGGCGCTGCTTACACAAGTGGCCACATCGTCCACGGCTGCGCTAACGCCATGTACCTTCCAAAGGTTATCAAGTACAACTCCAAGAACGAAGAGGCCCTCCACCGCTATGGTGACATCGCTCGCTTCCTTGGAATGCAAGGCAAGGATGATGTCGAACTCGTCGATGCTATCTGCCAGAGAATCCGTGACCTCTGCGTCAAGATCGAAGTCCCACTCTGCATCAAGGACTACGAGAACGGAATGATCAACGAACAGGAGTACCTTGCCAAGCTCAAGGATGTTGCTACAAACGCTATCGGCGATGCTTGCACAGGCTCTAACCCACGCCAGCCAACCCAGGAGGAAATGGAGAAGCTCCTCCTCGCTGTCTTCTTTGACAAGCCAATCGATTTCTAAACAGTATGTGATAAGTGACACTAAGATTTACAAAAAAAAGCTTTTTTTTTCAAAATCAGAATAAATGTTTAAGGCAAGGCAGGGAATATATTTTCATTGAAATTAAATAAATTCCTCATACGGATTCGTACTGAAGAATGCTCAAAGTAAAAATTCTCTTTTAAATAAATAAGTATTTATATAAAGTGCTCCATAATCAGACTACCTAACTCTTAATGTTGGGAATGAGACTAATTAGATGTAAGCACTTAGTTTGATAATAAATAAGATCTTCTTTTGACCTATGTATTTCGAACGGAATAGAAATATATTTAATAACTTCTTTTGTTGTTTTATCTGCAATATTGAATGAACCTTCAAAATGAACATAAACAGACTTTTCTCCGAAAAAGTCTTTACATGATTCTGATAAAATTGTTTCATTTGTAATATATAAATGGCTTCTATTTGGAAACACGCATTCATAATCCGAAGAAATATTAAAATTACCTGGGATAGAAATATTCATTGGATTTTGGATTTGATAAAATACATTTTCATCAAATAAGATTGTATTTGTATTGTTTAGGAATGTAATATTTTTTAGATTGACACAATTTTGAAATGCATTAGATCCAATAAATTATACACTTTCTGGAATTATAATAGTTGGTAATTTTTTACAATTAGAAAATGCATTAGCTGAAATTGTTGTTATTTTTGATGGAATTGTAATATTAGTTAAAGATTCACAATTGTTAAATGTATAAGATCCAACAGATGTTACCATTTCTGGGATTTCAATTGTTGTTAATGATTTGCAACTAGAAAATGCATAAGATCCAATTGATTCTATACTTTCTGGGATATTAATTTCTCTTAATGAATAACATTGACTAAATGCACCTGATCCAATAGATGTTATATTTCCTAAGATTGTAACACTCTTGAGATAACGGCAATAAGAGAATAAATCTGATGTAATATTTGTTACTTTTGATGGAATAGTGACATTTATTAATCCACAACTACTAAATGCCCTTTCCTCAATATTTATTACACATTCTGGAATAGTAAAATTAAGTAATTTTCTGCACAAAGTAAATGCCCAAATTCCGATAGACTTTAAACTTCCAGTGATTAAAATATCTCTCAATGAATTGCACTCTTGAAATGCACCTTGTCCAATATATGCTAAATTTGCTGTGATTGTAAGACTTTTAAGATTCTTGCATTTGTAAAATGTGGAGGAAGAAATTTGTTTTAATTTTAATGGTGTTGTAAATTTTGATAATGATTCACACTCTTGAAATGCATTAGATCCAATATATTCTACACTTTCAGGAATTATAATATTAGTCAATGATGTGCATCGGCAGAATGACCAAGGTTGAATAGAAGTTAAATTTCCAATTATTGTAATATTAATTAATGATTGACATTGATAAAATGCATTTCCTCCAATAGATGTTAGATTTCCTGTAATTGTGATACTTGATATTTTGCAATTTGAAAATGCAAAACTTCCAAGATATGTCAGATTTCCTGCTATTGTAACATTTGTTAAATTTTTGCAAGAAGAAAACGTCGAATCAGAAATTTTTGTGACTTTTGGTGGAATTACAACATTAGTTAATGATTCACAACTACTAAATGCCGTAGATTCAATAACTTCCACACTTTCTGGAATTATTATGTATGTTAAAGATTTACAAAAATAAAATGAACCGCTTCCAATATATGTTAAATTACCTTTGAATGTTATACTTTCTAATTTTATGCAATTAAAAAATGATTGCCAAAAAATTCTTGTTATTTTTGATGGAATTGTAATTGCTGTTAATGATTGGCAAAAGCCGAATGCTTCGCTTTCAAAAGACTCTACACTTTCTGGGATTGTGAAATCTAATAAATTTGAGATACAAAATGAAGTAAAATTTGATTTATAAAAGCATTCAATTCCTATTGTTTTTAATTTAGAGTCAGATGAAACATTTATGGTTGTTAAACCACTTTCTTTAAAAACGGCAACGTCAAGAGTAACTACAGAATCTGGTAAATATATTGATATTAGATTTTTACATTCAGAAAAGCAACTACTTCCTATACTTGAAATATTTGGAGGAAGTATAACTGATTTCAAGTATTTACAGTAAGAAAAAACACTTGAATTAAGTAATGTAAGTTTTTTGCATTCACTGAGATTTGCTGATTCAAGACTTGTTACACGAAAACTATAACTGCTAATGCTGGTAATTTTACTATCTTCTTCAAATTTAAGTGATGTAATTGAATCTTTACAATTCTTAAATGCATAATTATATGAATCTTCACTATATATTTCAGTAACATTTTGAGGGATAAAAACTTCACCAAGAGAGCCTGCAGAACAACTAATAATAGTTTGATTAGTATTATCTTTGTATATTAGGGATGCAACACTAAAACTCTGATAAAGTAGATAACAGAACATGTTTAAATGATCCTGATTCGAGATTTATTTCAAAAATATGAACTTTGTGTATAAATTTATAAAAAGAAAATTGTATTGAGAGTAGTTGAATATATAGATGGAGAAATTGGAGGAAAGAATAAATTGTATCAAAAACGAGTGCAATTAAAGACTAATTTATTTTCAATAACGAATTTAATTGATTATTTCAGGAGCGTTTAAATAATGAAGAAGAACTGCTGCATTTCTCATGTTTTAATATGGAAGAAAATGAAATTTTGGATTATTGGAAGTAGCATGCATATCTTTGATCGAATTAAAATTAAAATATCTAATGAAATGTCAGGATTCCGATATGATTTCATCATTTAAATGTTGGAAATGGTTATTATGCCTTTACAGGCATGTTAAAGTTTTCCATACACTTAAAGATAAACTCGAAAACATATTTTCCTCAAAAATTGAAAAAATCCAGAAGTGTTTCGACTGAAAACTTGATAGAAAAGGGTAATTTTTCTTGCAGAAATAGAAAGTATATATTGTAAAAATTGTTACTGCGGAAGTCCCTTGTCCAGGAATACGATTATTTATCTGAAAAAATAAAATAATTGTCTGACAAGGGTAAATTATTTTTTGTAATAAATATAATATACTAATGATATTGATCAACTTTTAAATGAAAATGACAATAAAAGTTTTATTTTTTTAAAAAACGAAACACAAATTGATTCTTGATGATTTTAAAGAATATCATCCGTCTCCACTTGTATTTGGTATGATTCATGGAGGCAAAATGACAAGTAAATATGCAATTCATTCTCAATCAGTTGCTATATCTGATGAATTTTACACATCCTACCAAACATCGCGCGTGACAAATAGATATGCTCCTATTTAGTCAATTCGATGGAAAATTTCAAGTTTTTAAATATGACTTACCATATTTTGCTTATTTTAAAGATACTACAGTTAACAACTTTATATCTAATTCGAATCAAAATCCTGAAAATTCTAAAATAGGCTTCTCGTTTCAGTCAGTTTCTTTTTTTAATAAACAATTTACAAAGATATTGGATATTGGAGAGCAAAAAAATCCTCATTTCATGGCTGAACAAAGTCAATATAGTGATAATACCAATTTATCTGATCAAACAACTATACCAAAGTTTAATATCAATAAAATAGATACTGATAAACTCAATGGTATACAATCATATTATAAAACTGCATACGAAACTCCTTTTCGCAAACACCAAGGAGTTTTGGTCCCAAAATCTCCTCAATACAAAGAGAAGACATATACTGCTCAAATCCATGATATTGACAGTCAACAATATAAAATATTCCAAGAAAGAATTCAAAAACTTGAATCCAGGATTGCTGAATTATAATTTGAAAATGAAACTCTTCAAAAAAGAAACAAAATATCAAATGATCAAGTCACAAAATACCATAAATTTGCTGAGAATCTTATCATTGAAAAATCAAAATTGGAACATTTAATCCAATCTCCAAATTTAGATATCATTGATAATTTTTTAAAAACTCACAAACCTCTTTGCGGATCTCAATTTGGGTGGGAACTATTAAGAGAAATGATTCACAATTTTGTTACTCAGCCAAATAAACATCGATTTTCAAAGGAATTTAAGAAATTCGGATTTGTAATTCATAATTTATCTCCTCGTTCTTATAATTTTATGCAACTTCACTGGCCAGTTCCCGTTTTTTCTGTAATTTATGAATTTACAAAAGATAATATAACAAATCTAGAAAAAAAATTGCTTGATGGGAATCACATTCGAAGAATAATCGAAGAGGCCTATTCTCACTGTTTGAAAGCATATAAATATGGAGATAGACTAAAAGTATCATTAGCTGTTGATGCAATTGCCTTAGTTCCTGAATCCTTAGATTCTGTCAAGAAATCAATCGGCGCTGTTCCGACTGAAGGTCTTGAATCCCAAATGAGAGTCCAAAAAATTGAAAAACAAGAAGCGGCAAAAAGTGACGATAAAAATAAAAATTCAGAAGATACGACAAAAAGTGACAACGAAGAAGATGATGAATTTGAAAAAGAACAAAAAAAGAAACGCCGGTTAAATAATATGTTCATATGTTATTTAGAACCTTTTGATGCAAATTATCCATGCGTTCCCATTCATTTAATCATTTCAAATAGTGGAGAAGCAAATGAAGATATTAGAAAAGAAATTCAACAATTAATTAAAATTTTACGCGGGTCAGCCTATGTAACTCTTGTTAATTTCACAACAGATGGTGATCAAGGCCATTAAGATGAATATAGGAATTTTTTTGAAAAACTTTTGAAAATATCTGATAATCTTAATTTAGATGTTCTTTTATCAAGATTTAAGAATGATATCCTTCAAGGAGAGTATTACTGCTGTACAGATTTCCTTTACTTTTTAAAGGTTGTTAGAAGACGTTTCCTGAAACATAAAATAAGCATTTTTGTTGATAATTTGAATTGCACTACAGATCCAAATAATTTCATACGTTATCTTGGAAAAGGACCGGAAATTACAGATGACTCAAAAATTGGTAAAATGAGAGATATTTATGCAATACTATTTTTCTCAGTTACTAATCTTTTAACTCTCTATGAAAACGGATGCATGGCAGAAGCATTAGCCTTTTTGCCATTTACATGCTGGCTAGAAGCACAACTCAATCCAGCAATTGATTTAAATTCTCGATTATGGCTTCTTCGAACAGCATTTGATTTAACTGTTCGTTTTTATAAACTAACAAAAACTGATGGATGGCTTCCAGAAATCAAAATGACTGGAAGAGGAAAACCACATTTTGTGACAATTATTCAGGAAGCTCACTTCCAGAGACTAATTGGATCCCTCTTCACGACAATTAATCTTTTGGTAACTGAAGCTGTTACCGAAAGAATTCCGTCATTTGGTTTGGATCGACTTGGAACTCATCCGTTGGAGAATTTCAACGGATATATTAGAGTTAACTCACTCCATAAAGATTACTGTAGAGATGTCGTTAGTCTTATTGCTAGAGCTCACATTATGAAGAAATTCGAAATTGAACTTGGCAAAGTCTTAAAGATTAGAGGAAGATACAACACTGGAGGAGTCCATTTAAACGATTGTTTCAATTTGTTTGAACCTCCAGAATGTACTTCAGAAGAATTTCTTAATTCTTTTGTGGCAGAAGCACAAATTGATGACGCCGTATTAATTACTTCACCACCACAATCACAGCAACCATTGTTTGCTGCAATAGAATGGTTTTCTATTACAAATGCGCAACAATTAAAAGCTGAATATCAGCTTTTAAGATTGAAAATACCAAGAAAACTTGCTAATAGTGAAATATATACAAGAAATATTCAAACGAATAAGTAGATTATTTTTTGAAATAATTCTTGTTAATTTTTATATTAAACTTTGTATCTATCATTTATATTTATTATTTATTTCTTATTGACAAATTAATTTTCCTTCCATTCTGCGAGTTTATTGGTATAGATTGCAATTATGAATTACATTAAGTTAATTACAAGTCATTATACCTTGATTTTAGTTCGCCTAAGCAAAACAATATAATTTCATGAAAAACTGTTCTTATATAGTTAGATTTATAAAATCTGAATACAATTGAGAACAAAAAGTGATAGATTTTAGAACAAACACGTCAAATATTCTTCCCATGGGTGATCACATTAAATCCCTAATTACTAGCTTCTGAGGCTTGGGGTCGAGGTCGAATCACTTCTAAAAATCCGAAAATTTTGTTGATGAAAAATATGATGCAAAATTTAAAAGATCATGAAATACACAAATATTTTGAATGAAAAAAATCATAATTTTTGATAAAGAATATAATATCCGAATTCAAATACATTTATTCAAAAAAAATGTGTACAATATATGAGAGATAAGAAATGATAGGTAAGAAACGTTTATTAGCAATTTATAAAAATGAAACAATATTAATAAGTTCATGATTAGTGCCGATTAGATTAGAAAGAGTCTCATTCTTAACAGCAAAATCAAGTATCTGCAAGAATCGAAATAAATTGTTCACGAATGATTAATCTTATTTCTTAGTTTCTTTGTTTTATCCTTATGGAACATCAACTTCTAGTGAGGTGAAAACTCTTATTTCAAGTTTTCCTTCAGGTTTTGGGAAAATTTCACTAAATGAGAATGTTGATTTGGATTTACATAATCGTTTGATGTTTCATTGGCTACATCTCACTCTACTTGTTGTAACATTCTTCCTTTGGCTCTGTTCGTGATTGTTTTTCGTTTGGAAAAAAAAATTAAATCTGATTTTCTGTTTTTTATTCTTATTATTGTGAAGATTCTTGGAAATCTATTTCTTATTGTTGTAATAATTCTTCTGGTTCTGTTGGTTTTCATTAGAGATTTCTGCTTGTAAAATATTTCAGTATTTTTCTTTTTCTTGTTCTTCTTTTCTGTTTTTGTCCTTTTTTAGACATCTCCTCGTAATGTGATCAATGTTGCCGGAGTCTTCAGATTAATCTGTGTATGAATCTCCATATTGGTTGTCTTCTGATGAAGGTTCTGTAGTATTTATTGTATCTTCAGATGGTTGTTCGTCTGTTGATCCTAGTTTTCAATTTCTTGATATCAATTTTTTCGAATTTTGTGTTTCAACTGGGTTTTCTAGTGTGTCTTCCTGATTTTTGTCTTAACAAGGCTGAAGATTCCTCTTTTTGTTTCTTTTTCCACAGATTCTGTATTATCTCTCTATAGCTGTGTATTCCCGTTCATTTTTCTGCATTTACATCTGCTAGATCGTGAGCGTCGTCAAGAAGTTGTTTGTAATGGTCATTTTAGTTATCTGAAATTTCTGAAGTTATAGTATTATTTCTGCACCTAGTTTATCATGCAAGTCATTAAAGTCTGATAGGACATCGATATTTTTCTGTATTTTCGTCTGTATACCGTAGAGCTTTTTATGGTTGGGTATTCTCTTAATCATCTGCTGACAAATCATTAACTCTTACATAACCATCGATACCATAGTTAATTTATTTCGCTTTTTCTAATTTTTGTCGCGCTTCTGAATCATCAACATTTGGATTTTCATTATTTTTTGCTTTTGGTGCCTAAGCTCGTTGCTATGGAGGATTCTCTGCGGTCTTAGATTCATCTTTGTCTAGTTCAGAAACTGTTTGATTTTTCTAACTTCACTCAATTGAACTATTTTTTTTAAGTGGGAATTTGGAGAAAACATTATCATCTTACTATTGAAGAAAGAGTGAATGGTTAGTTGTGTTGGTAGACTTTTTTCAGGTAAAGTTTATTTGGGAATTAATTCATTGATTCAAGGATCTATTTCTTATATTTTGGCGAATTTTGTCGTTGTTATGATGATGCAGAATTTGTTTAATTCAAAATTCAAAAAATAAATGAAAAATAATGAAACAGTTTCGGCATCATTGTTATAGAAATCTAAATAATATGTTTACTATAACCCAATCAAATAAGGGTTTCGTTTTGCGAAAAAAACGTACAATACGCAATTTCGCTAAAAAAACATTTAGCTAGCAATTTCGACCTTTGACTCCACTCAAGACGTCACTTTTTTAATTTTGCGGTATCATATTTTTGGAAAATCTTTATGAATATTATATAAAAAGTCTCTTTAATATCTATATTTCATATTTTTATCGATTTTTAAAGTTTTTGCGAAAAGTATTCAATTATTTTTGCTATTTGGTCGGGTAAATGTCAGATTTGCGACATTTTCTGATATGATATTCAGATTCTACGTTGATAATAATGCTTATAGAACCCTCTTGCTATTGTGTCAAAATTGCGAAACCGATAGCAAAAATATCTCGCAATATCAAAATTGAGATATTGAGTGAATTATGCATTATAGAGATTAAAAATCTGATTTGTGAAAACATCTCATCAGTTTCTAGCTAATTCAAAAATCTTTACTATCTTATTCGATTAAAATGAAAAGGGAATAGTTTCATTATGCTTTAAATGACAGCCTTATAATATAATCATAGTTTTCGCTCAATATGCAGCATTTTTTTTTCGAAATCTATGGTCAATGTCCTAAATACTGATTGCTTTGCATTCATATCTCTTACATTTTCTATACCCACATCACTATTCATTGCTATTCCTATCTTTTTCATTTTTGTTTGTTTCTCATAATTTTTCAAAAAACACGATAACTTGATATTTGTAAATATCATACTTTATAACATAAATAAGAACTTGACCTATTAAGAAAAGCAGTAATGAAAAGAAAATCTGAAATTCATAAAAATTACAAGTTTCTGATGACAATTAGCTTAATTAAACCAGGTACAAGATTATATAATTGTATTTTCTATCCAATTATCCATATAATATCTTATCCAGAAAAAATAACTTGATCAATACCAAATGATTTTTTAACTAGTAAATAAAGTATTTTCTTTACACACACATTGTATATCATAGTTTTTTTTTGGTTTCGCAAAACATCCAAAAACAAATATGCTATAAAAGTGACAATTTTAGCAAAACGAAACCCTTAAATCAAAGAATTGTTTTGATTTAACTATCGAAGATTTTGGTTTTAGGGGAAAAAAATTAATAGGTATAATATTCAGCTCAACGTATGCGTTTGGATTGAAATGCCTTTTAATAATTAATGAGATGGATAAAACGCCATTTATTCAATTGGCCATTTATAGATTTTTAGCGTATATCATGAACATTGTAATAACCAAGATGTTTTCAAACATTTAAACTCAAAATATTTGGAATAAAAAATGAAAGATTTTTGAAAATCGACGATCCTTGATGAGTATATTTCAATAATAATACAACTTGAACTGTTTAACAAAATGGGTGTAACGAAAACGATCACTTTATTAGAATTTTTATTGGATCATGCGGAATTAAAAGCATCGCGATGAGATTGCGAATTCTAGTATCAATATGTTGCTACTATATGTATCAGAAATATCATATCTCAAAGGTAGAACTCATGAATAATGCTAGGTATGATAGTTGAGGTCAAATGATTTTGAAACAAAAAATTTAATATTCAATTTTTTTCTCTCTTAATTTAAAAATAATAGATTTATATCAATATGTATTATTTTTCTAAAATTGGAAATGAGAATTTTATTCTATTCAATTTTGTGACACAATAAAAATCTGTATCATCTGTATTGATATATTATTCGGATATTAGCAATTTTTATTTTTCGGTTTTTTCATCAAAGTTCAACGTCTAATAGGAATCAAAAATTGCAATATGTGATTGATTAATTTTTCCTAATTTTTGTCTAAACTACACAAATGATTTGCTCGATGTAAACTATTCAAAAACCGTCACTATCAAAATTCAGAAAAATTTATCGTTTTTCAAGATATCGTGATAATCAAAACCTTTATTTTCTTGATGATTTTCTTGAATATTATATTTGATAAAACAATGAACTCGATTAATTCCTAAACCGCTTGAAAAATTGTGAAATTCAATTAAAAATATATGAACGCAACATGGAAGCGAGTAATTTGGTGGCTTGAGTTTATTGGCCCCATAATCGTGGCTTTTCCATTCTTGTTTAACCTTGTTACAATAGTTAAAGGCAAACCAGCAAGCCAGGCTTTTGGCATTGTTTTACTTACCGCTTTATATTGGATTTTGGAGCCAATTCCGATCGTTGTAACATCATTTATTCCAATAGTGTTTATGCCATTGTTCGGAGTTTCTTCAGCAAAAGCTATTGCAAGCTCTATGTTTAGTGATACTTCACTTATTTTCTTAGGTGGTTTCATTTTCTCCATTGCAATGGTCAGATGGAACTTGCACTCTAGGATTGCCCTTAAGACTGTACTTATTTTTGGTCTTAGACCAAATATTTTGTTGTTAGGAATTATCATAATTACGGCCTTCCTTTCGATGTGGATTTCTAACACAGCTACAGCATTAACAATGGTTCCTAATGCTATTGCCATCATTTCAAAGATAGAAGAAATGACCGGAGATCCATCAACAGTAGCACCTTTTGCAAAGGCACTTTTCTTAGGAATTGCATATTCAGCCTCTATTGGTGGCATGGCTACATTGATCGGAACTCCTCCAAACTTGATTTTTGCTCAAGTTGCCGCAGATTCTTTTCCAAAAGCCCCAGCAATCGGTTTTGCACAATTTTTGTTCGTAGCTCTCCCAGTATCCGTAGTAATTCTTATTGTTATGTATTTCTTCTTCGTTATTTTCTACCTCAGGAAGATTAAACTTCCGACCAATATGGATGAATCAGTCTTCCGCGATAACTACGATAGACTTGGTAAATGGAGTCCAGCAGAGATTATTATTGGCATTATGTTTATCTTACTTGCCTTCCTTTGGTTCTTCAGAGCTGATCTTGAGTTTGGTGAGAAAGCTAAACTTGTTGGTTGGACGAACAGACTCTTTAAGAAAGGATCATCATATATTCAGGATGGAACTGTTGCCTTAATCATGGCAATTTTACTTTTCATCATCAGAGTTCCAGCGCCAAGTCCAAAATTTGAGAAGAAGCTAGAACAAGCAGAGGTAGATTTAGAATTACGTAAGCGCAATAACCACAACGCTCCTAAATTTCATACGCCCCTCGAAATGTCATCGTCAGATGAAGAAGAGGAAGTTGTTGGACTTGAGCAAGAACTTCCAGAAGAGGAAGATCCAGATAAGAAATGAGTTCCCCTTGTTGATTGGGAATATGTACAGTCAAAGATTCCATGGACAATTTTATTCTTATTCTCAGGCGGTTTTGCACTTAACCAAGGATTCAAAGATTCTACTCTAGATTCATGGATTGGAAATAACTTAAGTGGTCTTTCAAATCTTCCACTTTTCGTACTTCTTATTTGTATTACATTCTTGACAGCAGCGTTATCAAACATTGCTTCAAATACAGCATGCGCGAACATTTTACTACCAATTGTAGCAGCTCTTGCTAAGAATGCGCAGAAGCATCATCCATGGGTTTTGATGATTCCAACAGCTTTCGCTACAAGCTGCTGCTTCATCATGCCAGTTGCTACACCACCTAACCTGATCTGTTTCGGATCAGGAAGACTCACTACAAAGGACTTCGTTACAGCTGGAGCTGCAATTAACGTTATCAGTCTTTTCTTAGTCATCGGATTGTGCATTGCACTTGTCCCTCCTGTCTTCGATGCCAAAGGATTCCCTGAATGGGCAATGACAAACACAACGAAGCCCTGACTATCCTGTGAGGTAAGTACTTATTATAATAATAAACAAAATATTGTAGAAATACCCGTCTTTTTATTACTTCTTTGTCTCTATTGGTTTTTCTATGAAATAAGAATATTATTTTTTGTTCATATATATATTTTCGAGTAATATCATAAATAATTGGATTTAAGTGAAGAAGTTAACTACATGCATTCTGTAATTTGTGATTTTCTCCTAAACCTTAGTCTTGATCAAAGACAATAATGTCAATTTATAAGAATTATCTATCTTGTAAAGCATGTTATGAAAAAATTAAGCTCTTATTTAAAGAAATAGTATCAAATTATGGAGAGATGTAGTGGAATATCAGCAGAAAAATCAAAATTTCGTTTTGAAGAAATGAAATGCATACTCATAAGATAATATAGTGAAATTCACTAGAAATTATTCAAAAAAAATACCTAAAAAATTCCTAAAAAATTTCAAAAAATCAAAAATTAAATGCATTTTCTTATTTTTGAACTATATTTTCTGATTTTTCTAAAAAATTTGGAAATACAAACATTTTAAAATTAAGTTATAATTCATTTTTCACCATTAAAAATCCGTTTCATATATCAAATAGTGAAATACAATTTGATACTTCCCAAAATACTTATTTTTGAACAAATATTATATAAGGAATGAATAAATGTGTAGAATGAAAACAATTTTATGCCATTGTAAAACATTAGTTCGAAGTAATAGTAAAGATATAAGATGAATTTTGGTAAATGAGTGAAAAATAGATAATGAAAAACAAACAGAGTTTATATAAATGACAAAATATATCCTACTTGAGGGGTGCAAACTCGTATCGTCCACTAGCAATCTGACATTTCATACTCTTTGTTACAGTTTCATCATTTACACTAGATTTTATATCTGCTACTGAAAATCCAGATATAAGTGGCCCAAAACTGGTGAATTTAACTGAAGTAACAATTTCAGTAAATTGTGCCTTATCATTTGGAATCCAACCAGTCAGTACAGCTCTAGAAACTTGCGATGCAACTTCCCATGAGACTGTCCTTGTTTCGCTATGATACGAAACAGAGCCTTCTGTAACAGCAAGTGAAGGAGGTAACATATCCGGTGGAACATCGAAAGATATGTAGCAATATGATGGCTTGAGCTGGCCAACACGGTACTCTATCTCAATCCTAACACCGTCCTTTTGCCAGATGAATCTCGGACGAAGAAGAATCGGAGGGGTGATGGCTGAAGCCACAACTGTGTAATTAATTATTGCTGATGGATATTGAGGTGGGGCTAGTGAAAGTTCATTTGCCTTGTTGAGGACTTTATTGACATTTGATGAAAAAATTGGGTCAAAACCGTTTGGTGGAGCCTTATAATCCAGATATATGAGTCCTGATTCGAGGTTAGCACCAACAATTACGACTCCTCGTATCTGGAAAAGGTTTATATAACCTGATGAATCAAAGAATACGTCAAGTGTTTCTGTAACTTGACAGTCTATGTATTTCTTCCCACGGAATCCCCACCTTGCCTTAGATTTCGTATTTTGGCCTGATGAAATGAATTGAGTTAAAGAATGGATATCTGATGCAAGTGGGTACCCGTCAATTAAAAATTGATCTATAATCATATATATTATTGCGAAATCTGTCTTAATTTTTGCTTCTGATAAAGGAACTTTAATTTGATCTTCGATATAATTGCAGAGAGTAATAAGTAAGTCTGCTACAAATACAGTTTCTGCTTGCTCATTACATACTCCAACGACGTAAACGTCATTGACCTGATGAGTTAAGTATATATTCCCAAATGATTCAAATATCGGGGAAAATCGCTTAACAGGGATAATAGATCCGCGAAGAATTTCTATATCAGCTTTGGTAACACCGCTACCTCCGCTTTTATCTACTAAGATGTCTCCTCGGGTGTTAAACAGAATCACACCCTTGAGCATTTTTGACATGTCAAAATTGACACCAGATATTTTTCAAAAATTTTAATATAATTTTACTAACATAATTAAAGCATTTAAAAACAACCTAATTATCGAAATTGAATTAAAAGTGACAAATTTATTGGGGATCTTCTGATTGATACAGTTTGATTTATTTGGATAAAAGACGTTAATTATATGTAATCTCTATTCAAGCATACAACATGCCTTAATTTCAAAAAATCAAATTCAAATTGAATTGCATTAAACTTATTTGAAAGTTCAGATACTTAAATAGTATTTTTAGCTTAAAAATATTTCAAATCCTAGAAGAAAATTAGTCAAATGACATCTTGATATAAAACTATTAAAACATAAGGTTTTAATGACTGTAATTATAAGACATCCGTTTCCTTGCCATATTCCAGGAACGTGTATTACCTCAGTAAACAAATATTCCGAATTTAAGTCAAAATTATATTTTCTTTTTGTGATATAATTATAAAATTCATCACGTGATTCGATCAGACCTGGGGGTATGTAAGCGCCTTTAGTCAAAACCCACGAACTTCCACCCCCACAACCAGCATTATTATAATTGCTGGAAAATCCACCGAACCAGCCGCCTCCACCTCCACATTTGTCATAGTAATGAGCTGTTTTTTGCACTCCTTTAGGATTTTTGGACCCATCTAAAGGGGCTGCCTCTGCTGTGCCAAATGTGAAGCCAAAGGAAGAATTTGCCAAGTATTGTCCGTTGTAAACTGTTTCATTCCACCAACCTTGTGCGACAAGGCCACCACCAGATCCACCTCTCGCATCATTTTGGAAGTAGTCATCAGCCCCTCCACCACCACCACTCACGATTACGCGATGATAGAGGGTATTTTCCAAAAATTTGACAGAAGTTTGCCCACCACCGCTTCCAGCTCCATTTTTATAACCCGGTGAACTACCTCCCCCACCGTATCCTCCAGGAACCATATTTTCCCTGAGATAGCAATTTTCGAGGGGGTCGCATTTCGAATTAGTCAAATACTTTCCACTACCGCCAATAGTTGCATATATTTGCAATAATCGTTTAACGTTAATCAAACCACTAACATACCCACCTGCGCCACCATAATCGAAATATTCTAAACATCTCGTGTTACCGTTAAAGAGCTTAACGAAGCTGTCCGGCATACATTCACCAGTTTCATAATGATGTGTAGAGACTTCGCCAGTATAGCTACCTCCAGAAGCACCATACAGTTCGAATTTGTACAAACCAGGCTGCAGAACAATCGAATATTCAGTGCATACGGAAGAGTCTTCGCAGGGGTAATCAAATATGTATTTATTCTCTCGAATAGATACAGGAAGAGGTGATTTGATTCTAACACCAGCCTTGCTGGCATCATACAGTGAATATCTGATCATCTAAAGCAGATATCACTAAACATTCTATCTTTAACATGCTTATTTTAATGGGATCACGCTAACCAAACACTAATCCCATTACTTGAAGTAAAAATATCACTCTTAATCCATATCAATCATAAATTTATTAATATTCATTGAAAGTAATTAAAGTTGTTAGGATTTTATACATCAATAATAGAATTGTCAGATTCATTAATCAAATTCTTTGTATTTGATGTATTATTTTGTGAACCAAAAGTTTATTTAAGATAAAAACTCCAATCACGCATAAATTGCAGGAAGAATTTATTTGCTTTCAATTCAAATATGAGATTAATTTTTATTTTTGGCAAAATTCTTTTAAACATGATAAACAATATTTTTAAATCATATCTTATAAATACAATGAGCTAACCACGCTTTAAATAGCGTCTATCCATGACGATTTGAATCATTTGTAAATATTCTTACTAAAAACATAGATTCATATATTCCAATTTATTTAACCTACAAAAATAAGAAATCCTAGAAGATAATAATATAAATTGTACCTGCAGAAACAGCTATTAATAGATGAGGCCTCAATAACTGTAATAACTAGACGACCATTTCCTTGCCATATTCCAGGAATATGTATAACATCATAAAACAAATAGCCTGAATTCTGATCAAAATTATATTTCCTAGTTTCGATAATCTCATAAAACTCGTCACGAGATTCGATCGGGTCAGGGGGTATATACGCACTTTTAGTTAAAACCCATGAACTACCACCCCCACAGCCGCCAATGTTATGGAGACTTGAAAATCCACCGAACCAACCTCCCCCACCACCGCATTTATCAGCATATCCACTAGGGTTTTGGACGCCTTTGGGATTTTTGGAAGGACCTAACCGAGCAGCTTCTCCACTGCCAAATGTAAAACCAAACGATGAATTCGCCAAATATTGGCCGTTGTAGACAAATTTTGTCCACCAACCTTGTGCGACGAGGCCACCACCAGAGCCACCTCTCGCATCACTTTGCTGGTAGTCATCAGCTCCTCCACCAGCACCGCTCACAATCACTCGATGGTAGAGGGTGTTTTCCAAAAATTGAACAGAGGTCTGGCCACCGCCAATTGCAGTGCCAAATGTATCTCCCGACGAACGCCCTCCACCACCGTATCCACCAGGAACCATATTTTCCTTGAGATAACAGTTTTCGATGGGTGAACAAATAGTATTATTCAAATATTTTCCGGAACCGCCAATGGTGACATACGCTCGAGTAAAGCGTTTGATATTAATCAAACCACTGACATAACCACCGGCACCACCGTAATCAAGAGATGTTTTGCATTTGGTATTTCCGTTAAATTGCTGAACGATATTGTCATGAATGCACTCTCCTGATTCATAGTGATGGGTGGAGACCTCAGAGGTCAAACTCCCTCCTGAGGCACCATATAATTCAAACTTGTATAAACTAGGCGGTAGTTCAATTGAGTAGTCAGTACAATACGAAGAATCTTCACAAGGATATTCAAAAACGTATTTGTTATCTTGCTTCGATACAGGGAGAGGATTTTTGGTTCTGATACCAGCCTTTTTGTCCTCATACAGCGAATATCTGATCATTTAAAGCAGACAATAACAAGCCTATTATCAGTGACCTACTTTTTCTGTTGGGTTACAATCTTCTCCACTTGAATCCAAATTACCATGAATTAAAATAGCTCATTTATGTAATTTCAAGCGTAAATTCATTAATTTTCATTAAATTTGATTCAAACGATTGTGAATTCATCGTTCAATAATCTACTTGGCGGAATAATATAAAGAAATCTTGTAATTAGAAAGTTCATTTTGCTATGAATGAGGGCTTTTCAGAATTGTATGGCAATTACAATTATAAAATAGCTAATGCGTGAAACTCATTCAAAACAATTTTGTGAAGAAAATTGTTGGAAAATAAACTTTAATTCAATCTGAAATAATTTTTAGATTTTATTCTATTACTCTATTATGTCCAAATAAATAAATTAGCAACCATAATTGAAATGAAAAAACGTTAGATTCATTTCTGGTGTTTAGATAGTGTTACATATCAATATCATTTTTAGACAAAAGATATCGAAACATTCAAATTCTTTTGAATACCTAAGAATTTATCAAAATCTCACTTGATTATGATTCATCCATGCCTTAGTTCTGATGCCTTGAACGACCTCAAGAACAAAATGCCCATATCAAGTTCGGTTATCAATTACTTTTGCTCTAAACTACGTAACAAGTTCAAAGATCATCCAAAGTCTTTTTACTTCATGGAACCAAACATTTCATCCTTTATTTTTGATAAATCAGTTGAATTCTCAAGAGATTTTATGAAAACCAGGGATGTAAAGTCAAACGATATTGTTTTTATCTTCTTATATAACAATGCCCACTTTTCATTGCTTTGCTACATGCCAAAAATGAAGAAGCAATGCTTCATACATCTGGATTCACTCAAAAACGCTCATCATCAGTACGCTCTTGAATTCACCAATAAATTCATAAATATCTTTGAAGCCAAGTGCAATCCTAAAACCGCTTTTGCAGAGCTCGGATGCCCACAGCAAAACAATGATTATGACTGCGGTATTTACTCTTGTGCATTTGTTGACTTAATTGCTTCAAATTTCACCTTTAATAAGAAGATCTTTGAAACAATTACACCAACATACATTTCAAAACTTAGAGGAGAGCTCTTCAGTACAATTACTAGTGAGCAGACCCAAACTAATATCGAAATACCATGCTCTCAGCCAAATCCTCAGGTAGACCAATCATAGGTCAACTAATTTGTTTATATTTTGTTTTTTGTTTTATTATAAATTATATTATCGTGTTTGTTTTTAAATTTACTCATTCTTTACGAACTACTCGACTTAACAGATTACATGGATAAGATATTTTGATGATTATTCTATAAGAAATCAAAATATCAATTTGATAAAAATGAACAAAGGAATTAGAAGTTAAAACGAACAGTTTATAGAAAGAGAGTAGAAATCAGCATAGGTTTTGGTATTGCTGTCTAATCTTAATCAATTGTACTAATAACGGAGTTGCATCATTTGGATTGAGGCCAAGTCTCTCGCAAACAGATCTACGGTTATACTTATAACCAGGATGTTGTGATTCGAAATTAAGAACTTGTAATGGGAAATCTAAATGAGATGCTTTAAAGAAATCGTGGACAAAAATATATTCATCTTCATCTAGTGCTTGATTGGCAAATTTAATTCCCTCAAAGTCTTTAACAGGTGGATTATGTTCTGGATCAAGTAAATTTTTAACAATTTGATCAGCAAGACTTATTGATGTGTCTTTGACTTCTTGTTGAATTCCGCATTTCTGAGAAAATTGTTGAGTTTCTGTGAATATTGAGCTGAGCATCTTAAAAATATTTCTGCAAACGTATCAGTTTTTTCAAATGTAAATGAATGTTTTTTAGTTATAGGTAAAATTAAAATAAATAAATATGTGAAGCACCGCTGGTCTAATGGTAGAATTTCACCTTGCCAAGGTGGGGGTCCGGGTTCGATTCCCGGGCGGTGCATTCCTTTTTCATTTTTTAAATTATATAATTTTTAGTATCATAAAGGGTTTCTGGGAGTAAAACATATAAATGGAACTAAAAGGGTGCTTTTTCTAAACCAGAACACCAATAAATAATAATGAACAAGCACTGAATTCAATATTCGAAAGATTATTTTAAATTTTCTATTTCATTTAAACTATAAGAGCTTTAACTTTGCAAGCATTAATAAATTTAACTAGGAATTGAGGATTAAGTTAAAATAAAAATAGTAATCAATTTTAAAACAATAAATTAAATAAACTTTTTTATAAAAAGAAAAATTACCAGAATGGGCACCATCCAGAGTACATCTTTGCGATATTGTAGTTATCAGTAGCTTCCTTGATGAGTCTCTGTGCCTGTTCTTCGATTGAAAGAGGCTTTTCAGTTCCGAAATCAGAACCAGACAATTTGGTGTTGACTCTTGCTCTCATTTCAGTATCAGTTGTCTTATCAGAAGGATCCATGAGCAAGACTCTTCCTTTGTCAATGACAGAACCAGTGACTTCAGAGAATGAAATGAAGGACTTGGCCTTTTCCTTGTCAGTACTTGCAGAAGACTTCTTTTCTCTTGGATCAACTAAAGGTTCGTGCACGAAAATTGCCAAGACCATGATGAGAACTCTCTTGTTTTCTCTCAACACGCGGCTTGTGTTGATGAACGCTGTTGAGAATGTTCCTGCTGTTCCTGTTACACCCATTGCTTTGACCATCATCCTTGTGAGTCTGAATGGGACAACTTCAGGAAGGAACTTTCTCTTCGACGCTCTTTCGAAACAGTCACCGAAATCGATGTGAATCACTTTACCTGTGAATCTGTCGATCAATATATTGCTTGGATGTCTATCACCAAGACCAATAACGTAACCGACCATCGAAGTAATGGCAGCTGAAATTGCGAATGTCGAAATTCTCTTGTGCCAAACATTTGGAGATCTCGCCTTCAAATAGAAGTAATTTGCAAGATCTGTGCTTGGAACGACACTCATAACTTTCATGATGATGTTCATCTTCTGGATTGGCAACATGTAATCGAAGCTTTGATGAGATAATTTCTCTGTCAAAGCGTATTCTTGGATCGGATCTCTTTGTTTGAGCCTTCTAAACTGCTCAACAACGCTTCTCAACGTGTCTGTGCCACTAACCCATTGTACAAGACCATTTGTAATTGACAATGGAATAACAGACATCGTTTGAATGACGTGTGCTCCGAAATATGTTTCTCTCTTCAAATATGAGTTGATTAATCTGAAGAACTGTTGGATTCTCTCATCCAATCTAAGATCTTCGTGTCCTTTGACTAAGTACTGGTAGAAATTGCCATCTTCGCCACAAATAACAACATCTTTTGGTTGTTGTTTTGACATGTAAACTGAAAATTGGCCGACAAAATATTTGATTCTGATGATTGGTTTTCCTGGTTTATAAGTACCAGGAACAGCCAATTGAAAGTGTGTCTTTTCTGCAAGACTTTCAGAGATACTTGCCAACTGGATGATCCTTATCTTCTTGATGTCATCAGCTAACAATGCCTGCATTGATTTGCACCATTGTGTAACTTGCATCATTTGGTTCTTGTTCAATGGATTGAACACTTTAAGGATCTTCGAAAGTGTTGCGATGTTTGTACCGTAAGTTGTAGCGAATTCTTCGTGGAGAGCGCATTTCGGTGTCTGCACCATTTGTGTGATTGATCTCAATGTTTCAACCATCATGTCATACTGTTGCAATGCGTAATGATCGAAAGCATCAGTGATTCTCTGCATAACCTTTTCATACCATGTAACGGCAGCTCTCAACAAACATTTTCTGATTGTGAAAACTTCGTCGTGAGCTGAAGGATTCATCTTCTTGAATTCGTCGAAGAGATTGAAGGCCGCTTTGGCTCTTGCGTTATCTCTACTGAACTTCATGACGATGACAGAGAAAATGAGTTCGTGGTAATGTTCATGTAACAAGTTAAGAACCATGTTATGAACATATTGTGCAACAGCGGGAACAGGATGAGATAATTGGACCAAAACTTGTGGAGATGCCTGCAAAATAAGTTTCGGAGATAATCTGTTGAGATATCCGTTCGTTGCGTGATTGAAGACGTTCTCGATATTTGCGTGCTCGAAGAACAAGTTCAATAACTGAACGATATCCGTGAAAGAAGGAGCAATCAAACAGCAATGTGTTAATGCATCAATTGCGTTTGTTACGTATTTGGCGGTCTCTTGTTTGTCAAGAGCAATTAACTGTGTGTTGACATCGCACCACATTCTTAATACTTCCAAATCGAATGATTGCTCGTTCATCTTCGAAATAACCGCTTTTGGAAGGAAAAGTGCACTTGTATTTGACACTTTTCTTTGTGACAATCTGTTTACAGTGTCAGAAACAAATTGAGTTACAACAGGGTTATCTTTGAGGTTATCGAAAGCGAGCTTGAAATCATTGATTGACTCTCCTGTTTCTATGAGCCATGAAGCGTAAATTGCGTGGCATCTGTCAACCAATTCTCCTGAAACGTCTTTGCAGATTTCATCCATTTCTTTCATCGCTTTGTATTTATCTCCTGTGTTCCATTGAGCGACAACGTAACTGATTCTCGGGAGAGGATCAGTTGTCGTGAGAGGATCGACACCGTGGAACAAAGCGTTGAATGAGTTCATGTGCAATTTAGTGTCCATTGTCTGTGACTTCAAATTGAAGAACTCGATGTAAGAAATATCTCTATGTGCTCCTGTCAAAGTTGCTCTGTTTCCAAGAATCTTTAACCATAAATCAAAGTTTCTTGGTGCTGTTGCCAATCTCTCGGACCAAACTGCTTCGATGTATGGTCTTAAGTTCTCGTTGTTCATCCAGTTCTTCATATCAGAGATTTCAACGAGTTGTTGTGCAACCAACATCGTATCAGTGTTAATCCTTTGGTTGATTCCCCACATTGTTATTGGCCTACTTGCCAAAAGTGAGAAAGCGTTTTCTATTGTTTTGTCGACTTCTTCGTATTTCTTTCTATGCAATTGAGAAATCGCTCTTAACGTGAAACATCTCAATGAATCATCAGGAGCTGATTGCAATGCTTTGTCTAAATCATCCCATCTTCTAAGATGCATCATAGCATTTGCAACATAAGGAGCGGCGGATCTCTGCAAACTCAAGTTCAATTTAACGAAATTGTCCATTAAATCACCGAGTTCATTCCACCTGGCCATTCCGGCAAGTGACTTCACTAATGATGGAAAAACTGACACGTCACCTTTATGGAATTTGTCATTGAAATAAGGCATGATTCTATCCCATATTCTTAGTTTAGAAACTGTCTCTGGTCTTGAGAGTGCAGCTACCTTAGGCATGTATTCTTTCCATACTGCAATGGCGTTGTTCCATTCGCCAGTTTCCATGTAACCGTCAATTAAAAGTGACACAGTTTTAATTATGTCAGGAGACGGTTCATTGTATAATTCGTGCTGGAGAATGTAGAGAGCCAAAGAGTTGTATCCGTATCTGATGCATGCCTTGCAGATGTCTTGTGCTGGAATATTTATTGGAATATCCATTTTAGACATGAAGAAAACTAAATCCAAAATTTCTCTTACGACATTATCATAATTCTCAGGTGCATTGATTAAACTCAAGAATGTGGATTCAGTTTGTTTGCGACCGTTCTCTCCAAATTGCTTCCAACAACTCAAAAAAGCAACTTTGAAAAGTGACATGGCCAAAGGACGATAAGTTGATGCGATTGAAGAGCAAACTCTTATGCATTGCAAAGGAGAATAAGCAATAGTTGTAAGGACAAATGAATGCAACCATTGCTCCAAATGCCTGGAGTAACCAACAGCAGGAGTCATGATTTTTGAGATAATGACTTCTTCCGAGAAAACATGGTTCAAATTTGTTGAATGAGACCTTGGAACTCGTAATGATGGCTGAGGAATAGGTACAAATGATGCATATCCTTGTCCTTGTGACACTGCTTTGATGATATCATGCAATTGAGGTGTCTCCAAGTTGTGGATTTTGATGTAATCCAAAATTGGATCTGCATTTAACAGGAAATTGCGGCCTTGTGCGAGCAAAAGCGAATAAAGAAGGTTCATAGCTTGTCTAACAATCTGTTCGTCATTGGATGCTAAGCAATACTCGAGAGATCTGACAATCGGACCAATCTTCTTGAAAATGTCAACAGAACGAACAAGTTTATCGAACATTTGAAGTCCGGCCAACTTAATCGTTCTGATCGTATTGTCTCTCATGATTGTTTCGCTGACGGATGTGATTATTAAGTAGTTAAGATCGGTGGAATACTCGCAAATGTTGGAGAATGTTTCGATAACTGCGAGACATGGCTTTTCGTCAGTTGTTCGCTTGTCATTGAGGAATTGTATCAACATACAAACGGTTTTCGCTGAATAGTTGGCGAAAAGATCTTTCATGACTTGGGCGAAACTCATTATCAAGTCAAGGAACTGCTGTGCGAGGTCGGAATTAAACCTTGAGTTGATAATTTTGAGAGTTCTCTCAATGAAAGGTGTTGCGGACTGTCCGGATGACTGAACAATGCGTGAGAATAGTGGAAGATAGATCTCCAAGTCACTGTCAGTGCCTGTTTCAATACGATCGACCATTTTAGTGACGAACTTGTCGAAATAAGGGAGAACAGCGGTTTTCGGAGCTTCTAAGATCTCAACCAATGCCAAGGCTGTGTCCTGATGGTATTCTGACAAAGAATTGTCCTTGAAGATATCCAATAAAGCGTTGGATACAATAGAATGGATGCATTGTTCTCCTGTCTGTGGGTTGAGAAGCAGTGTATCATCGATTTGGCCTGTAGACATGTCTCTGGATGGATGGAAGAAATTTCGGGTCAATTCGTCATCGGCGAAATCAGGTGGTTCGCAAACAGTGTTCGCTGGTCTCTGGTGGATATCGATAACACCAATAGCACCGATAACTTTGAGAGTGGCCATTCGACATTTTCTGGAATGCGTCATTCCGAGGAATTTACTGCATGCGCCGACAATAACAGGGATCATTGCACGTGTTTCTAACATCGAAGCTGGTGGTGAAAGTAGAACATACAAAAGTGACAAGGACGATAGAATGGTGGATCTTTTCTCTGTTACTTCCAAGTGCTGGCAAAGTGCTGGGATGAGATCTGATACGTATTTTGCAACTGTTGTTGGATCTATAGGTGCGACAATCTTCAAACATTCGCACATGTTGATCCAAATGTCGTTTGCGGACTGAGCATCGTAGAAATTCGAGATCTTCGAGATATCTAATGGGTGAACTAAGCACTGAACAACTATATCAATGATAGTGAGTGAATATATGTTAACTGTAAGAGCACATGCACGGATTAAATCAGGAAATGTGGAAATTAATTTTGCTCTTGTTCTGATGCTTGGAATGTTCCTGATTGTGAAGAAATAGTTAAGCATGGACTCACGAGTAACAGCTGCAAAGCCCATTGGATTTTCTTCGGCAACTTTTGCAATTAATTTAAATGCGCTCTTTCTAACATTAACGCTACCATCTGATGTGAATATTCCGACATACTGGATGCTCTCTGGGCTAGCGAGCTTCTTCGTTGCGCTTTCCGTGAGGATATCCAGGATGGATAATCTGACGTTTTCATCGCTATCGAAAATGGCAAGTTGGAATAGCTTCCTTGCGATGGGATCTGCTAATGATGTATTGCTTCGAGAGAGGTGGTACATTGCTTTTGGTATAATACAACGAACTTGTTTGGATTTCTCGGAGAACTTATCAGTAATGAGGCATAAAAATCTGTCGTGGTTATATATTGCTTCCAATGGTACTTTAGATAATGTTTCTAAAGCGATTATTGTTTGTTCATTAACTTCTTTCGCGATTTCACTGTAAATTCTGTCGCAGAGTTTGTGTCCGAACTCTTTTGTCCGTAATTTCGTATATTCGATGAAAAATTCTGATGTTAATTCGGTTAATTCTGCTTTGAGAAGCTCTTCAATAAAATCTTCACGAATTGGAAGGGCTTTTTCACCGTAAGTTTGGAGTAACTTGATGAGAATCCTGCATCCGGAGTCATAGTCATAGTTTGCATCGCATGCACATTGTTTTATGACTTCAATCTGTTCAAATGCTGTATCCGGACATTGCTGGATCAAAATTGCTGTTGCATCTGAAATTTCTTTTGGAAATTCAGGGAGAATTGTCTTTAATGTATCCATAAGAATTGGGAATACATTTGTGACGAACTGCTGCTTGTCAATATAAACAAAGTAAGTAAGTGTGACGTAAGCAGCACTCTGGACAAGAGATGATTTGCTTGAGCAAAATTCGTAAAGGTTTTTGAATAAAGATTGAAAATGTGGCAAGAAATAATCGGAACAACTCTTAATCAATTGCTGTAAGATTTTAAGGGCAGTATAGATTTTCATTCTTGATCCTAATGATATAAGTCGTGAGCATAAGAGATCAAAGAAATTCATGAATGAATCTAATTCACTGCGCCCGTAACGAATTGTAGCTCTTGCAAACATTGCAATCGCATCGGCTGTTGCATCTACAAGTTGGAGTGATGGATGTGAGACTAAAAGCCAAATAGCTGTCTGAAGTTGTGAATATGAGATTACAATATCACTACCAGCATTCTGAGCAAGGGCTTCGATCATACGAGCAGCACTCATATGGCGTGCTCGTCTACCGTGAGCGCGAATCCAGCCAAGACAACGCTTAAATAAGTGATGAACGTATCTTGACTGTTCGTAATTTGGATGATGAACAAATTTTCCGGCTACCCAACATGTAAATCTTATATATTCTTTGTCCATTTGTGGGACAATGCGATCAAAAATTCGAGCAAGTACATTAAAATCTGGATAACCACAATTATGCAATGATAAAATGCCAATAGCTGTACGCGCTACATTCTCTATGACTGGTTGTTTTGAAATTTTGACGAGCATTGCAACATATTCTTTGATATAACTATCAAATTTCTCGGCGGCAAGCGGCTCCATTTCGAGAGTAAAAGAGGCATAATATTCTTCATATGTTTTTTGCATCTCCAAGAATGTCTTCGGTATAGGCAAACTCGGAAGATCCATTTTTTAGAAGATTAATTCAAAAAAAAATTTTTGCGATGGGCTTGACAAGGAATTTAAAAGAGTAGGAATAATCTCTATAATTAAATCTCTTATTTAGCTGCTCACATTTAAATTTGAATTAACCTATTCAATTTCTCGGGTTTGTGAGGTAATGTAATTATTCTAAGTTTACGGGTGCACAGAAGGTGGGAATTTTGAGGAAAGTTGCTGCTATCACAACTAAAATAGGCACTAAGGCATCACATCCGATTTCAAAATAAACAAACATCTTCATTATCCAAAAACTTTTGAAATCAATCCTTAAATTTTTTTTTACAAATTATATACACTTCTAAGGCAGGCATTTAATACTCAAAACTCTTATTGATATTTTCATATCCAGAAAGGATCTCTATTGATTTTTTTCATCTGTGAATTTATTAGTGATATGTGTTTATCTATTGATATAATATATTTATTTAGGAGCTGCTGTATCAAGAATAAAATATTATAGGATCTTGAATACAAAATCATTTTCATATCTCCATTGACATTAATATTCCGAGCAATGTGCTTTTCCTTTTGATTTAACTCAATGTATCAAATCATTTTTATGTAAAAAAAGTAGATTTTGATCTTATTCAAAATAACTCAACTCAAAGTTCTCCTTGGAGATCGATTCAAAGAGCAATGATAAAAAATTACGCTATGTTAGGGGTAATTAGACATAAATAGTGATTGATGAGAGAGAATTTGGAAAACGATAGGTCTTATTTGGCCAAATTATCAAGTCAAAATATTTATTTAGAATGTCTTCAACGCCACCTCTTTATGATTCCTACTTGTCAGAAAAGGAAAATTATGAAAAATTCGGATTTAGAGCAAAGCCTAAACTTATTTATCATTTTGAAAGGGAATCGAGAATTTGTTTAATTAAATCTCAAGAAGAAGACTCGGAATCAAGATATTACATTTTCAAAGTCGCTGATGTTAATGAATGCAAGTATCAATTAATAATACCTTACCATATTCGACCAACAATATTTCGAATTATTAAATCTGATAGTGGCAAATATTACATGCTAATGGATTACATTGCTAGTTTTGATCTTTGGAAATTTAAACCATTAACAGAAAAATATCCTCGTTCAGATATAAACTTTTATATTGCCAAAATTATTTTTGGATCTCTCTACGAATTACTGCTTCTTCAATCTAATGGTTACATACACCAAGATATCAGTCCTGATAATATTGTTTTTGATGTAAACTTCGATCCTTGGATTATTGATTTCGGCCAAGTGAAAGAGAAAATATCTGGTAGCGTTGCAGAAAGTACTAGAATATCCGGTCAACCAAAGGGAAAAGACAAATACATATCAAAATACAGAGCTCAAAATAACGGAAAATTTTTCTACTATGAAGATGATCAATTAGTTTCCTGGGCCAAATCAGTATTAGATGTGTTCTTTGGAGATATAAAAGATGGCGATCCTTGGTATCCCATTAAACAAGAAATTGAAAACATTCTTGAATTTGAGAAAAAAGACGAAAAAACTAAACAAGATGGCATAAACACATACAAAAGATTTGTTGAATCTATTCCAAGACTTATTAACCAGCACGTGAGAAAGATAATCCCTAATTTTGATGAATTTCAATCATTTTTGTCTCATGTTTGCAACAATTCCGAATTTTCTTTTAGAAAAATCGAAGAAGATTCTTTAACAAATTTCTATATCGATAAAAATGAGACAGAACGAAGAATCGAAAGAGGCTTTGTATTAGGAACACAAGAAAACATTAATAAACTTATTAAAATATGTTCCAATACAAACCTTCCTAGTGGAGTTACAGATATGTTAGATAGATTAGCTGAAAAATAATCTCAAATTATTACAAAAATTATGACTAAATGTTTGATTTTATCAATTCATTAACTGGAATTTTTCATGATACAATAAAGAATGTCTTAATATTTTTAAAAACAGTAAATTTCATAAATAAATTTCAACAAAAATAAAAGTCCAGATCTTCTTTAATATCATATGCGAAAGATTTGCAGGGAAAAAGACTTATCATCATGTAATTGAAAGTATGTTTGATATATTTATTTTAATTACAAAAAAAATAAGAAGAAAATTTCGTGTTAATCCCAATAGCTCTGTAAATCTTCAGTTGGTGCGGGTGTAATTTTGATTGGAGGCATAATTTTGAGTTGTTGGTCAATTATAGTATTTAAACGCTCAATTGTGATTTCTTGCTTAGCTGGATATGGTGGAGTATCCTGACGCCTTGGAGGAGGAATGTTTTGTTGTTGTGGTCTTCTATAGTCATTTTGATGATAATAATTCTGGCCATCGTAGCTATTTGCCCTCCCTGACATATAGGGATCTCTATTTTGATACGACGAATATTGTTGTTGAGGATGATGCATGTAATAGTTATGTCCGTCCATTTAGGTAACTAAAATGCGATTTTTAAATTTTTGTAAACTGTCAAATAATTTTTTGACAATAAACTAAGTAAATTTTTGTAAACTATAGAATTCCATCCAAGAGAAACTTCGGGTCCAAATGCATTACATTGGAGCCTGAAGCCTCTCATAGTGAATACTCCAAAGAATTTAAACAGAAATATCTGTAGAAGGGATTCAAGGCTCCCAATTATTTCGGAAGAGAATACATTCAATCACAGAATTTTATTACCGTATGACTTTAATATAATCATTTAAAGTACACTCCGGCTTTATTGTTTTCTATTAAATTTGAACGCTGGCAAAAATAAATAATTTTTGTAAAATTTAAGATCACATGTTAAGATCATTTCCGTATTCTCTACTTCAATGAAAAAATGTAATAACGAGTCACACTGCTTCAGAGACCATGAAATTGACTGTATTTCCTACATTGAATCAGAAATGGTCACTTTTCCTTGTAAAGTAATCGGAGTTATCAAATTCTTCATCTCATTTTTATTTCAGAACAATGGAAGGAAAGAGATTCCCCGTGTTTGGGTTGATGGCGTTTTCGATGTAGCACACTTTGGACACTACAACATGATGAGACAAGCTGCTGCTTTGGCCGACGAACTTTATGTTGGTGTACATAATGATGAAGAAGTCACAAAGAACAAAGCTAAGCCAGTTTTCAATCTCCAGGAAAGAATGGAACTTGTTAGTGCTTGCAAGTGGGCCACAAAGGTTATCCCAGACGCACCATTCACAACACAAGTTGATTGGCTAAAGAGATTCGACTGCGAAGCATGCATCCATGGTGATGATCTCGTTCTCAACTCCGATGGTGTTGACTGCTACAAGGCTGTTAAGGATGCAAACATGTTCGCAACAGTTCCAAGAACAAAGGCCATATCAACAACAAATCTCATCGGCCGTATGCTTCGTCTTCCAAAGGATCAGCTTCCAGAAGGCTTCGATACATCATTACTTGAGAACCTTTCCGGTGATATTTCATCATTCTATACATACATGCCAACAACTCACCGTATTTCTCAGTTCGCTTCCCACAGAGAGCCAACGAAGAACGATAAGATCGTCTACGTCGATGGTACATTCGACCTTCTTCACCCTGGCCACGTTTCATTCCTCAAGAAGGCCAAAGCTCTCGGCACATACCTTGTTGTTGGCGTTCACCCAGATCCGCTCCCAGGTGAGAACCGCCCAGCACCAATCATGACCCTCCAGGAACGTGTTCTTAACGTTTTGGCCGTCAAATATGTCGACGATGTCATCATTGGAGCTCCTTACGTTATTACAAAGGCTTTAATCGACCAGATCGAACCAGCCGTCGTTGCTGAAGGATCTTCCGCTACACGTCCTAAATCTGTTGACGCATTCAAGATTCCAAAGGAGATGGGAATCTTCCAGCAGATCGAATCTGACTATCCAGAGTTCACATCCAAGCTCGTCATCAAGCGCATCCTTGACAATTACCAAATTTACGCTAAGCGCAACGCAACAAAGGAGAAAGCTGCTTGCGAGAAACTCGCTTAAACATGATTAAATAGATATTTTCATTATTTTATATAATTTTTACTCTATTTCTCTAATTTTATTTTTTAATTGGATTTCAATAATATAAACTTCATTATAAAATTTAAAAGCACGAATTCTGCCATATTTTTATCATTTCATTGATAAAATCCAGAAAAATATAATAAAAATGTTTCATATTTGAAAGTAAAACAAGGATGACTTTAACATGACGTAGATAGTACAACATATAGTTAATATCTATATACTTCTTAAAGAATAAGAGCAAAAGAATTGTATATTAATGTTTTTGAGAAAATTATTGAAATTAACATGAACAATCCGAGGAGTCTTGCTTTGGCTTGATGACAGACTGTGATTTATGCTTTGATGACTGGAATTTGAGGAGATTTGTCGCCAATTGCATGAACAATTGAGAAATTCCAGTTCCTGTCTTGGCAGATGTCTCGGAAAACAGGTATCCATTCTTTTCAGCCCATTCTTTTGCTTCATCAGCAAATACTTGCCTACTATCTTCTAAATCTGCCTTATTTCCTGCGACAGCTATAATAGTTTCAGGACCAGCTACCTGAGAAAATGAATCTATCCACTCCGGTAGATCTGAATATGACTGGCGGTTCGTAATATCAAAAACTGCCACACAACCTAAAGAATTTCTAAAGTAAATTGGGCCAAGAGACTTGAATTTTTCTTGACCTGCTGTGTCCCAGATTTGGATTTCGACCTTAACACCATCAATTTCTTGAACGAATAATTGATAATTTGCACCGACTGTGCTTTGCTCATATGCATTATAGGAGTGATCAATAAGTTGGTTAAGCAATGAAGTTTTACCTACTGATGCATCTCCAACAACTACTACACGACAATGAAAAGAACTATCTTCGACAAGCATATTTCTGAGGTATCTCTCAATTTTAAAAAGGGACCGAACGTTTAGAAAAATATTATCAATATTTCTTTTTATATATATGAACCCCTATCCAAATAAAAAATTTCAAAAGTTTACAAATAAGCATGAAATTTACGCGTTTCCAAATCATGGTATTCCATGAGCGTGGATAAATCCTTTGCTTAATCATTACATTGAGGGATTGAAAGAAAGGGAACCGTTTATCTATATTTGGTAAAAACATGATATATCTGCCGAATATTGTAATATTGTGATTTCCATAAGTTTTTTGTTTATATATTATATAAAAGCTCAATTATACTGTAAAGATTATTTAAAATCTAAAATTTTATGATATTTATGGAATTGCTTTCACGAGAATGTCATTTGATTGATTAACAGTTTGAATATTGGACTTTACCCAGTATGCAAACAAATATGTTATTGAAGTTTAGAACAATTCTCTTTAGTATCTAAAATTGAAGAACCTCATTCAAAATCATTAATAAAAGACACCCAAAGAAGTGTATTATAATATTCTTCAGACATCACTATAAAGATAACATATATATATTTGTCCTGATGAATTGTATACATATAATTCCAAGATTATGTTTTTTCTTAAAAAGTGTTACTTTTGGTCTTAGTTGCGTCCCAAACTAAAATTTTGGTCTTCCCTCCACTTTGAAAGTGAATTTAATACTAAAACAATAAATGGTTTATCAATACTTAGTACTATCCTTTTTGGAACAAATGATAATAAGGATGATATTTGTGATTTAAAATAATTTTTTAAGATTCGTCTTTAATTCATCATATTGTGAGATATATAAAGCATTCGCATAACTCATTCTCCTTAAATGATCAACTCAAAATTCCAAAAAAAATTCAAAAATTCAAAAATGAAAATCAAAAATTTAATTTTTCTCTTGAAAACATCAATTTCAAAAAAAATTTGGAAAATAAAAGTAATGTATAATTAGTCAAATTGTCAAATAAACCTGTTTTTACTAATAAAAAACATTTAATTTTTGATTTCGATATCATATTTGATAAAATCTCATTTAAGAGTTGACATAATGTCATCATTGTTGATAAAAATATTAATACTATAACGAAATTCTTATTTTAAGATATTAAAATAATAATGTTTTTATTTCAACAACAACAAGTAAATAGATGAATGGAAGCGTAATGTATTCGCATAAATGTAGTAACTATCATCTAGATTTGAGCTATGAATATTCCAATCAAAATGTATCAAATTGAAATCAGAAATAGCCAAAGATTATATGAGGTACTGTGCACTAATTGTAGATGCGATTTTAATTCATAAGTAACTTATATAATAAAGCCGATTTTTTTTTCTGATTGCAATAATTTCCTCAAATCTTAGTAACTTTTTCTATTTTCAAGTAAGTTGAATATGCATCATAAAGTGCGTAGAAAACCAAAATTATGAGAAATACTGTCGTTGAATTTTGGTGATTCAAAATTTCGATTTTTAATGTGTGGTTTTAGCATGTGTAATCTTGTTCTTATCTCAACACGAGGGTACATCTGCAATATTATTTAAATTAACAAAGTTGAACTTAAATTGAATAATGCTGGAGAATAACTGATAATGCAGCTAATTGCATATTACAAGATAGTTGCCAATTGGAGTAATAAATTATTCTGCACCAATCATTTCTTTCGTTTCTGGCATGACGAGCAGAAAGGAAGCGATCAGTAGCCCTAGGAAAAAAGAAGAGGGTTGTCACTTTTCGTGCATGTACATGTACCTTTTAGAACGTATACAAGTGGAATTTAGATTCTAGTTATTTTGATTTATTAATTTTAGATTTTTGGTTATAGAATTACTTTAAATATCAAATTTATAAATCTCTAAAGAGATTGTGATTTTTATCTCAATCTAAGCTCTCCATTACAAATAAACAGAGGCATTATTATAATTAAAATATACTAACCTAAGAAAATGTGTCATTTTGGAAACCATACAAACAATATTTATTAAATTCAACAAAATATTGATAAGAAATTAGTTATTATTAAGAAAATCCAATAACCTAACTTCGAGCCTTACATATTACCAATACTACTGTTAAGAGAAAGCTAATAAATAGAAAAACATCTTGGATTTGAAAATCTGAACATATTGCATTAATGATTCTTTCTTTCATGTGTAACTGTTCATTTTGCGTTTCATTATTTACAGGCTGCTCTTCTTTTTTATCTTCGGTATTTTTTATTTCAGGTGGTGGTATTTGAATTACTTTCTGAAGAGTACGAGCGACATCACGCATTGTCACAATATCACTGCGATTAGAGATGTTAATTAAGAAATTTTGGATTTTAATATTGACTTCAAATGACGGTGCATTTTCGACTTGAATAAGGTTAAATTCAGGGGATCTACTTGGGTAATCGCATGGAAAGGTAACTTTGAAGTAACTTTTAGAGGAATAATCTGCAATATTGAATTCTACATAATTATCCAGAAAATATAACCTCCAAATAAAGGGGTAGTTATCTTGCTCTATTGTAGCAAAGAATTTTCGAGGATATAGCTTCTGAACATAAGCAAAATCATTAAGAATACGTTCTCGAACTTCCATTCAAATTTGTGAATTTTATGAAAATTTTTGACATTTAGACTCAGAAGTAGATTTCACATTTCCAAATATCATATCTCAATGTGAAAATTCTAGTTCAGTTAAAATTTAAGGAAACTCTTTTATATTTCAATGTTGTATGCCGAAATCTTTAGATAATACGTATGATCGTAAATAGGCGACAATTCTCAGACAGAAAAAAATGAAAACGGAGCTCGTCGTTACCTTAACATTTCTGAAATAGATTAGATGCAATTAAAAGAATAACAAACATAACAATTTACTTAGAGTATTTAATAACTTCTCCATTGAGATTAATAACCTCTCTTTGAAGCGCATCTATTTCTTCTTGTAATGCATTTCCGCAGTATTTTTCATATGATACAGGCGCAGATGTAAAACTTGAACACCTTGAAACAGATTCATTATCATTTCATTATAAAATCTGTAGAATCCTTTTGGTTATTCAATGCAGAGACAATATACTTAACAACTTCTTGCGGGCTTGCTCGATCATCTAATTGCAAAGCATATTTTAGATCATGAAAAGCTTTGATAATCATTTCTGATTCTCCAGTATAAGAAGAATCGGAAGTTAATCTTGAGTTTTCATTTTCAAGGCGCTTTATCTTATTGATTGCGTTTGCCAAGCTGCATTGGAGATTCTTGTATTCCTCATCATTAGAAATATTCTTCTTTTTGGCTTTATTTTCAATAATCAACAGTTTACGTTGGAGTTCATCAATTTTATCAATATACACTTGCTTTGTAGTTTTGCTCTCATTAACACATCTTGTTAAAGCTTTCCTTTCTCTTCTAAGCCGTATGTTTTCTTCTTCCTTTTGCAATAATTCTTGTTCTAAGTTTTTAATTTGATTTTGATTTGATTCGTTGTTTTTGAGCTTACTTATCAAATCATCACGTTCCTTAATTGTAGTATCGAGTTTAGATTTAATACTTTGCAATTCATTCTTCATACTGGCTATTTCTTGAACTAATGATTCATTTTTTCTTTTGATCTCATAATAATCATTCATTTTTGAATATTGTTGGGACTTAATCTGCATGGACAATTGCTCTACTTCATTTTTCTTTTGCATAACCAGAGATTTGATTGTTTCAGCATCTTCATTATGGATTTTCCTTAATTCGAGTAATTCAAATTCAGTATTGGCTGCATTTTCAATTTTAGCTTGCATTTCTGCAATTTCTAAAGAGTGCTGGGCTTGACATTTTTCATATTGGCTTTGTATGTCTAAGAGTTTTTGTCTTAATTTACGATTGCGGTGCAACAAACGTTTTTTATTGGAGAATAAACCATTTTTCACGGCATTATCAATAACATTAATGGTATCATCAAGACTTTTGATTTCAATTCCAGTTATTGATGATAATTTGGAGAAAAATTCGTTAAGTTGAGTATAGCTAGAAATGCATGTAGAAGTTAACTTTTCATTAGTAGATCTTTCCTGGATCAACACTTTTCTTATTGAAAAATTGAGATTTAGCTCTGCCTTGAACAATTTGAATAAATCTTGAAGCCGATGAAATATTTCAGTATTCGAGTCCCTTTTATTGATATTTGATATATAGGAATCAATCAACTTTGCTTGATTTAATATCTCATTTTGAAAATTTGTTATTTGTTCTGCAGTATCTTGAACTGTGGATGTTCCAATCGTTGTATATGATGGAATAGAGTCATTTTGCTTATTATCTGATAAATATGAATATGACTCATAAGAATACTCCATATTTCTAAACGTGCTTCATTTTTTTACATGCTTATCAAGGCGTGGATTTTGCGAATTAGCACAACAATTTATGCTAACATTTAAGAAGTGATATCACGTCATCAACTTGGTGCTATTCTTGAACACAAGTTCGCTTATTATATCTTTCATCTAAAATCGTCACAAAATTTAAAGTCTCAAAGACAGAGTTTATAAAATGATACACGCTGATGATTAATTCTGTGAAAATTATTAGAAATTCAAATATTTTTAAATATTTTTTTCTTTGAACAACATATAATATCAATATAAAGTATTTTATTCAAGTTATTCAATGCTTGGTATAAAAACTACTATCTTTTGCATTAAATATAATTTGCTGAGTAATTGCAAAATTATATTCGAAGATTCATGGATATATCTTATTCTAAAATGGATTCAATTATTCAACTTGTCATGGAAAAACATCTCCCTTATTATGTAAGGAAAAGATTGATTTAATATTTTTTTGAGGATTTTATGGATTGAAGCTATAATTTGTAATTAAATGGCAACCATCTACCAAGTAAATAAGAATCATTTTCATGATTTCTATGTCGTGAATAGGAATTCAAAGAAAGGTTTAAGGGTGCGCCCGGGAGGATCATGTAAACTT